TTACTGCATTTATAAAACTTACTATCGCTATTAATACTTCTTACAAATGTATTGTTGAAATGAATTCAAATGGCAATGATTATTTTGATTTTTTTATGATTATTTACGGTAAACTTGTTGTATTTTATCATAAGTAATTGTTTCTATGTCAACTGTGATGTTTTTCCGTTGGTGTTAATTTCATATTGATAATGTTTACAATTATTTTACTATATTCCATATGTGAATTTGATTTCAGAAAAATCATTCCATTTCTGTAATACATTTCTCTTATAAACTGAAATAACTATAAACAAAGCGTAATTATTTTCCTTATTTGCCGTCTTTCATCATCAGATCGACTTCACTTTTATTGCTTTTGTCCTTCTCTTCATTCCAGCGCTCACTGTCCACTTTATATCCTATTTCATTATAAAATTTATATATCCCTTAACAAATCTAGTAATTATAGGCTATTTTCCTTCATGAATCTTCAATTGTTCATTGTTGTTTCTGTTTAATCATTTTAATTCTTAATCCTTTGCGTCATTTTCATCTTCAGTTATTCATTTATCACTCAGTTACACTTGTTACTCCTCTCGGAAGAGCACAGGCTGCCAACCAGCATTCTCCATCGAACTGTGATTCATCACGTTAATATTTAATTCGTCATATAGAGTTGTGTTACATCGATTTACTGCTTTTTTTATATCCTTTATTTTAATTAATTAGATGATACACTATCATGTTTTTCTCACTTTATTGTTTATATATTAAATTTATGAAATTAATACTGAATTCTGGTTGTTTAATTTTAATAATGTTTAAATTCATGTACACATTTATCTGCAATATTTAATTTATTGTCTGTGTATCTGTGTACGATTGTATCACTAGAAAGGATAAATGACTGAAACTCTTGCAATATAATCAATTGTATGTAATCTTGATTATTTCAATGAGAGAAACCTCACTTATTAATCAATGTTTTATTGTGACTTTATATCATTTAAAGGCAAGATTCAATTGCTGTTATAGTATCCCTGCATATTATATTGTTAGTGTTCACGATTGAATGAAACATTAAACGCTTCCCTATTTTTTTTTTGTTGACAAAAACGGAAAAGGAATATTAGAAATGAAATGAACACCATTATTTTTCACATCAATATGATAAAATACAAACTTAGTTATTATTTATCAGACAACCTAATATCACAATTTTGGCATATGTTTAAGTAGTATTTATCATGATAATATATAATTGATCATTTTACCTTAGCCACATTTTAGGATCGGTTGATAAATTAACTGATAGCAAAGTCTGTGTACATGGTTATCAGAAAAAAATCAATAATAAACATGAACAATTTCCAAAATACCAAGCAAAGATGACATTTAACTACAATTTACCAAACTGTTTTTTTTTATTATGCCCATCTCTTCATTACCAATTAATTACTAACTATTAATGAATAAATAAAAGACCCCTTCACAGTAATATACAATTAAGCCGATACTTGAATATCAGTATAACTGCCCCAAAATACCCTGGTGCGGTCGAGAGTGGGGAGAGTCCACTCTCCCTTTCGAAATGCTCTACCATCACCACGCGTATATAGCCTCTGCCAGGAAAGTCCTACTAACTGCTTTCTCGTGGCGAAGGTGTTTTTTACGGGACTGAGAGGACGAAAACCGAATTTCTGGTGCTTTAACCGGGTTGGTGGACATGGAGAGTCTACCTAGAGGAGTTGGAAAACCCGATTCCAAACCAATGGTGTATATGGGCTCCAGGATCCTGAAGGAACAAATGGCGTATGAACCAATCGTTGGTCACCGACTACCATGGGACTGCATCTCCTTACGATGCTTCACTGCCTTGTGGATCAGACATTTAGGTCGAAGGCTCCGGGTGTAGCCCCTTAAGAAAACTACCTGGTTCGGTTTGGGCACCCGGGCAGTATCACAACCCTCACACAAATCAAATGAGCTTAGTGTGGCGCATATGTATTTGGTGCCTCCTTGTACCAACATCTGTGTTACAATAAAATAAACAATAGTATAACTGAGTTATAATCTACATTTGTAGAAAAACATCTTGAACTGTTCAGTTAGTATCCGAAGTGAAATTTATTAGAAAATCGGGTTTATGCCTGTTCAAACTGAACGTTTACATTGTTGATCCAACTTAGTTTTAAAATCTACCATTGAAACTTATGTTCTAGGTAATTTTAAATATTGTTACTTCTAAGATATGGAAATCTAGGTGTACATTAACAGTTTTATTCCATTGATCTTAATACTAAACGTTTTCGTTTTTTAAGCAGTATAAAACCATTTTTACAGGTGATATAGATCCTCCCCCAACTACATACAGGCCAAAAAGCAGATGCACTGAATTCAAAAGACATAACAGTTAAAAGGTTAAAACCTGACCTTGGTAACACAAGCGAATGAAACATTTTGACTTTTCTTCAGTTAATTGTGATCACAGTCTAGTGAGTTGAACCTACAAGTTCTTCCTTTAAAATTTCAAGATGTTTTGTTTTGTCATGTAATAATATTTTAGAATTATCATCTTAAGCAATTATGGAACATCACTTTTAAACGGTTGATCCTTGACTTCACTCAAATTTCTAACAACTTATTTGTTATTGGTTGATAATTTATTTTTAAGCATTCTGTTGAAAATTTGAATCAGTTTAACTTAATGGCTTGTACATTATTTTTGAGAGGGCAACGAAATACAATGAATTCACCATATTGTACAAATACTATGTTTTCGTTTTGTTTAATTTAGTAAAGGGTACCGATTGCATGAATTTCTATCAACAAACGTTTGCATTTCTTCGTTACAATTTAATACTTTATGTTAATGGTATGGATGTAAACTGATCAAACAGGATCTTAATTTTCATCTTTAATATGATGAAATATCTAACGGTGAAATATTTTATCAAACTTCTAGTTGTATTCCGAGTTATTGTGAATTCGGTGCTAAAAAAGTCAATACTCGTTCGTAAGACTCTCAAAGTCTTTCTGGTAAAATCAATATCCATGTATATGTTTACCCCAATGATAAGTATAAGGTTTGTATGTCTTCAAATGAAACTTACTTGACTTTTAATCGCTAATTTGTAGGTTTAAAACCCACTCCAAGTGATTCGGTTTAAATCTACACTATCACTAACAGAAAAAAATATTGCTACAAACCAATTAAATAAGTATTTGTATTTAGTAGATCAGATGGATTAAATTTTTTTTAAAAGAAAAACGTTAACTCACGAGATAGAGTGAATTAGCTTTAGATTTCGAAAAGAACTTATCCATGTTACATAATAAAACGTGTTTTATGAAACAAAAATTCAGATTTCTGGTTTTCCACGTTTTGTCAATTGGTTAATGAGATAACATTGGCATCTCACTGTGTTTGGTATTTGGCAAGTGTGTTAAATCAATGGTCTACATATCGATGTTTTAAAGTTTTCAAAATTATTTTCATATTTTAAATCATTTGAAATAGTGATCTATTTATTGACATATTTCTTCACTGTATTGCGTTTAGAGTATAATCATTAGTCGATTTTTTACATTTCGCTTTTTTGTAATCTAATGGTATACTCTGCATCGTCTTACACAAAATAAACAATAATTCGCAAATAGATGGCTAAATATAGGATTGATTAACATAAATTAGGAGCTAATCAACCGAGTTTTGTTGATTGATTATTTTCACAGATTGAAATCATGAGTCAGTTGAAGCTAGACCACCATTGAAAACCTGGAAGCACTGGACGGCTGAAATAATTGCTGAAATAATTTTCGATTTTTGTGAATGAATCTCTGTTGTAGAATTTTAGAAAACGAAGTCAATTTAATTAGTTACCCTGAAGAAGTGACTTAGATTGAGTCACGAAACGCCAAAATGCCTATGTCTATACATTTGAATATCACATAATTATATTTATTATGGAGTCAACTTATTCCCGTTTTTTAAATATTATTGTGTTTAGTAAAGGAAATGTTCTACTGGTTTGTTCTCTACTTTTGCAAAGTATCCTTTCTTCTGCCCCCTGAATGCCCTGGTACGGCCGAGAGTGGGGAGAGTCCGCTCTCCCTCTCGAAATACTCTCACACGGCCACGCGTATACAGCCTCTGCCAGGGAAGTCCTACTCATTGCCTTCTCGTGGCGGGGGTGTTGTTTACGAAAATGAGAGGACGAAAAGCGAATGTCCGGCGCTTTAACCGGATTCCAAATCAATGGTGCACATGGGCTCCAGTATCCTGCGGGAACGAATGGCGTATGAACCAATCGTTGGTCACCGGCTACCATGGGACTGCATCTCCTTACGATGCTCCACTGCCTTGTGGGTTAGACCTTTAGGTCAAAGGCTCGGGGAGTGGCCCCCTAAGATAACCACCTGCTTCGGTTTGGGCACCCGGGCAGTATCACAGCCCACACACAAATGATGAACTCTTTATGTCTATGGAAATTACTTTTGTCGCTTTGAAAAACAAACAATTGATTCAGATTATTATCATTACAATTATTGTCATTATTAATACTATTATTATTATACTATTATTGTCATTATTATTATTATTATTATTATTATTATTATTATTATTATTATTATTTTCCACATTATTCACCCTCTTTTATACTTATACAGCGGCTCGTCTTTGGTGGAATTCCGACTGTATCTAAACGTTCTCGAGTCACTGTCCGGTTGAAAATTGTATGTTACCACCGAATACGAGGACTGAAGCAGATTTTCTGAAACCACGTGCACCATTCAAACTGGCTGCCTTCAACGTTCGCACATTTATGCAGGTCGGACAACAGATAGGGCTGGCTATGTCTTTGGAAAGTCTTAATATCGACGTGTGTTGTCTATCCGAGACCCGTATTCAAGACTCTGGCGAAGTACTACAAATTCGATCTCCATCTGTCGCTTCGAAAAGCTTGTTTTACGTGCGCTTATCCGGGGACCCTGTGGCATCTTCGTCTGGTCTTGCTGGCGTTGGTGTCGCACTAAGCGCTAGAGCTGAGGCAGCACTAGTCGATTGGATCCCCATTAACAGTCGGTTATGTGCTGTTAGATTAGAAAGTTCCATCAAAGTGAGAAGAAATCGGCGTGAGAAACGATGTCTTTTCGTCATCTCCGCCTATGCCCCGACAGATTGCAGCCCGGATGCAATCAAGGATGAGTTTTACCACCAGTTATCAGTTCTTCTCCAGAAAGTGCGTTCGACAGATATTGTAGTACTAGCCGGAGACTTGAATGCTCAGGTCGGGCGTCTAGGCACAGAAGAGAGTCGTTTAGGTGGCCGATGGGGACTCGTTGGTCGCAGGTCAGATAACGGGGACCGTCTACTGCAACTTTGCACAGACCACAACCTGTTTCTGGCTAGCACTAACTTTCGGCACAGTCATCGCCGATGTGCCACCTGGCGTCCTCCCTCTGCATCTCAAGCCTGGACTCAGATTGATCACATCGCGATCAGCTACCGCTGGCGTGGTTGTGTACAAGACTGCCGCTCCTTTTGGAGTACCTATCTGGACTCTGACCATGCCTTGGTCTGCGCCAATCTTGCCTTACTTTTCAGTGGACAACGAAGTGAACGCCATCAACGGATTGATGTTAGCAAGCTGGTTGCAACTTCTGTTGCAAGTAAGTATCGAACCGAGCTAGCCTCTAGGCTAGCTACCACTCCACCGAAAAGTATAGATGAGCATTGGTTGCAATTGCATGACGCCATGAAAATGGCGGGAACAGTCAGTTGTGGGTTTGCGAAACGTCCCGCTTTTAAGCACTGGGTTTCTTCTGGTTCCTTACAACTCATTGAAGCCCGTCGGTCTACTCCGGGTGACCGTGAGTTTGACCATAAACGAAGGATGTTACGTAAGGAAATTGGGCAAAGCTTGCGTAAGGACCGAGAAGCCTGGTGGTCGATGCGTGCTAATGAGCTGGAAGCAGCAGCTGCATCTGGTAACTACCGGAAGCTCTTCCAACTCATCCGAGCCACTGGCAGCAAGAAGTCTGGTGTGAGTGAAACAATCTGCGAGGATGATGGGATGCCAATCACTAACATCCATCGACGTCTTGGACGATGGGCAGAATTTTTCGAAGGGCAGTTCAACTGGCCTGCTGCTCCGGCAACATCGGTCAGACTGTCCTGCCCTCCATGGCCGGTGACGACTGATCCACCAAATGAGGAGGAAGTCCGCAAGGAACTCCAACTCTTGAAGCGTTACAAATCACCTGGCCCAGATGACTTACCTCCGGCTCTTTTTAAAGATGGTGGTGACTTTTTGACTAAGGAATTGACGACGTTGTTTACAAAGGTTTGGGAACTAGAGAGTGTACCAACGTCATGGAATGAGTCGATAGTTGTCCCTATCTTTAAAAAGGGTTCACGTCGTTCTTGTAACAACTATCGGGGGATAAGTTTACTTCCGATTGCGTCCAAGCTATTGGCTTCCGTCATTCTTCGTAGGTTGTTCAAAACCCGAGAAAGATTGACTCGCGAGGAGCAGGCTGGGTTTCGTTCTGGTCGAGGATGTATTGATCATATCTTCACCCTCCGCCAAATGTTAGAACACCGCCATACTTTTCAAAGGCCAACAATCGTAGTGTTTCTTGACATCAGGGCTGCCTTCGATTCGTTGGATAGGACTGTTCTCTGGGATTGTCTATTGAAGAAGGGTGTGCCTGAGAAGTTTATTAACATCCTAAAAGCCCTGTATAAAAACACCTCAGGCAGAGTGAGGGCATACAACCACCTCTCTCCATTGTTCCATTCGAGCAGTGGGGTTAGGCAGGGTTGCCCAATCTCACCATTCCTCTTCAACTTTGCCATCGATGACATTCTGGAAACAGCTCTGATGAATGTAAGTAATGGTGGTGTGGATCTGTTGCCTGGAGAAAGACTTCTCGACCTTGAGTATGCGGACGATATTGTCTTACTGTGCGATAATGCCCAAGGCATGCAATCCGCACTTAATCAGTTGGCAATCAGTGTCCGTAGGTATGGTATGTGCTTTGCACCTTCGAAGTGCAAAGTACTTCTACAAGACTGGCAGGATTCTAATCCTGTACTCACCCTGGACGGTGAGCAGATAGACGTAGTTGAGAAGTTCGTGTATCTGGGTAGCTGCATAAGTGCTGGTGGGGGTGTGAGTGATGAGATCAATGCACGAATAGTGAAAGCCAGAGCGGCTTATGCCAATCTGGGCCACCTTTGGCGCCTTCGTGATGTTAGTCTGGCTGTAAAAGGTCGGATCTACAACGCGTCGGTGAGAGCAGTTTTGCTCTATGCTTGTGAAACCTGGCCTCTCCGAGTTGAGGACGTTAGACGACTCTCTGTGTTCGATCATCGCTGTCTCCGAAGGATTGCTGACATTCAGTGGCAACACCATGTCAGTAATGCAGAGGTTCGGCATCGTGTGTTCGGGCACAGAGATGATAACTCAATTGGTGTCACCATCTTGAAACACCGACTTCGGTGGCTTGGACATGTTCTCCGAATGTCGTCCCAGAGAATTCCACGTCGTGCATTATTTGCCGACTCTGGGACTGGTTGGAAGAAGCGGAGAGGTGGTCAGTGCATGACATGGTGTCGTGGCATGAAAGAAAGCTGCAAAGGACTGGCTTGTGTTGGTCCTTCACGACTCCCTGGTTGGGGTCCGAGAGATGGTGCTACACAGTGGCTAGAGACGTTATCAGATATGGCTCAGAATAGAAGCCAGTGGCGATCCTGCTGTAACCTTCTTTTACTTTCTTCATAAAAAGTGGTTGTGTCTCCCTTACCTGAAAGATTTCTTCTGATTGTACCTCTTCGTCATTACTCTCTTTTTCTTTTGCGTTCCTTAGTTTTTTTTTTCTCTTTCTACTTCTCTTCGAATTCCCATTGTTTTGTGTGGCGCATATATATTGGCGCTCTCTTGTACCAATATTTATGTGTTCAAATAAATAAATAAATAAATAAATCCTTTCTTCTCGCTGAATACATAGTTATACATTTTTGTACACCTTTACCAACAATTTAATTTCTTTTCATGTATATCAACAACTATGATAGATTTTCCACTGTACCTGTAATAACAAGTTCATTAATTGAATTACTATATTTCTCATGTGATCGATTTGCCACACAATACAATATGTATCCAAACCACTAAGCAGAACACCAGAAACAATGATGAGTATTTTAGACATAGAACTCACGTGACTATATGCGTAAAATATGAGACTATGACGCATCACAAATAATGTTTCTCAGAGAGTACACAACATGAACATTTTTGGTACAAAAAATGAGTAACACATAGTCTATTAGACCTAATGAGCTGTAAAAGTTATCTTAATAATGGATGATTGAAAATGTGGTTTTCAATGATGACTGGTAACCTGTGCTGTGGTGGTTCATCAGGGCTCAGGAAAGACCTGAACAACACACGAAAAGCAACTGATGAGCACTAGTAAATGAACAACTCAAAGTGATGACACAAAGGGTTGTATTTTGAAGTTGAATCACGCGATCAACAGGGAACAAAAGAGTTTGAAAACTTTGTTTTTATGCATCATCTCGTACTTCTTGTTATATCTGAAGAAAATAAAGTACTGATAACTTCCGGAAACCATTAATAGACTAATATTATATACATATTCTTTTTGTATAACTGTTAAGTAACTAGATTATATATATATTTATATTCCTTTTATCATAAGCTTTAATTTGACCCATTGACAACTATCATAAGATTTACTAGTCTTAGTTTATTCACAATTTATTCGTGACAGTCTCTCACATTCACAGCCACTTTTGTACTTGATCATGTATAATCATAATTTTTATTTTATGGCTTGATGCGGTTTGGTTTACTTGTATATAAATCAAGTATGTCTGAAACACAATTCATATAGTGTAAGCTGATATTGGTGTTCTGGACTCAACAGGCGAAGCTAGGCACGAAGTGTCAATAAGGATTACAGGCTGCTCGTAGCAGTCAACGCGTCATTGGTTTGGCACAATACTGAGATTGTATAAGTCATGTTCTGTTTGTGAGAATCGACAAGCCAGAAGTCATAACACTTTCAGTTCATTCAGGTTTCCTTGTGCTTCCAGCACATTCACGCTTCTTTCTGCAATAGAAAGGACTGATTCACTTTAATAAGACACCATGACTTCAACACTTATAGACTGTATAGAAATATATTAAAGAATTTTTAAACAAACACTCATTATAAATATACTAACTAATTCACTAAAAGTAGCTACCTAAGTTTTGTGTTACTCTTTACTCGCTTTTATTTTCATATTTAAATAACCCTTCGTACGAAGTTATGCATTTGCGACTATAATTAAGATTTATATTTTCCATTAATTGATCCGAATGGAGACACGCCAGATAGTTTCAATCTGTCTTTGTAGATATCGGAGAAAGTGGGAAATCCACAAGATATATTTTGATAATCAAGGGTTTTGGTAAATTTTAAAACTCGACATTTATACGTTCTGACTTAATATAATCTTTTTAGAAATTGCCAAAAACTTCTAGCTCGATCTTTACTTACCTACACCTGTTACCTGTCGTGGAGAAGCATAAGCCGCCCACCAGGATTCTCCATCGAACTCTATCCCAGTTACTACTCATTCTTTTGATGTCTGCTTCCAATTCTCAACCCGGTCCTTATTTCTATTAAAATTTAAGTACACATTTGAGCATTCAGTGGAAATGACCTATATTTATGATGAATGGTTCGTTGGTTCAGTTCAGTTCAAATGTATCAAATGAACTTACCATCTTGAATTATATAACAAAACTATAACAATTAATATTTATGTACGGATATGCTGATAACCTCATTACTATAAGGCTTTTGAATAAAAAAAACTATCATAGTATATGCAGTTTTACTTAAAAAATATTGAAGTATAAATAATTTGTCATATGAAATCCTCTATAAACTAACTAGTATGATCAGTTTCCTTTGTACAATCTTTTACAACGCTACAATAATAATACAATATCTAATTTTGTACGATGCTTCAGTGTAGACTACTTATGAGTTTCAACTTTTTGTCTGAATTGTACTACTTACAACATTGAAATCTGTTTGAGTTTTAATCGGGCAGATTTTTCCAGTTTGCTCATACTCATTTAACTTGAAAACATAAGCGATAATTAAGTAGCACTTAATATTTTATTCCTTATCATACATAACAAACTAATAATAAATACTGATCTTACGTAAACATTGATCACGAGTTTTAAATTTTTATATCAAGAAACAAACTAATCCCTAGGAAACAGTTTCTATTTGAAACAAATAAGCATATAAACAAGTCAACCACAATCAAGACTTCAGACGTATTGATTCATACAATACCTATACATTTCTTTTTATGCCTGTTAATATGATTATAAACAAAGAACAGAATTTCATGCAAAAATGAATGAAAAATGTAAGTTCACGGTAGAAGCAATCTTCAAAAGACAATCTTTTACCCAGTTGAACAAGATAGAGATTTCTGGATTTAAGATACACTTCTCATATGTTTCTTTACATTATTATCTTTTAAACCAACCATTTTCATTATCTTTTTATATTATTCATCCTCATATAGTTCAAAAGTACCAAACTTATGTAATTTTTCATAGAAAGTAATGTTAGAAAATCATTTATAATTAACTACTAAACAGTACATCGTGAATACCTATCGATTTGAAATAATGTTCTCTGCTTTAAATAAACTTTCAAAATTCTTTCTAATGAATTTTTTTATTAATGCATATCTTATCCTGAGAAAAAAAATCATTGAAAGTTGGTTTTTTCATCAATCTAGGAATCATCGAAAACAATTGTTTTAATCTTAACTGAGATCTCTTAGCAGTCAGTACTCATAACCTTGCCAAGGATCAGATCGAGAACATTCAGTTTTCATAATGAAGACTTTGCCTTTAGATTGTGAAGTTGAAACCCACCTATACAAATTTTAATTTTCAACTCGATTGCAATATAGCTTGATATTTTTTAATTGCATATAGGTGCAATCATTCACTACTGACAAGGCTGAACTCAACTGAATTTCACCAAAACTTCGGGAGTTAATCTCTAGATCAATCACTGGTGATCAAAAGACTAGTGCTGTAATTAAAACACTTGTTTAGTCCCTTACTTATGTTTTAATTAAGGAATGGTTTTAAATAATAGTTACTGACAAATGCAATTAATTTTCATAAAAAAACTTAGTAATTTATGGTTAGATTACTCGATTACTCGCTTACATTGTCCAAGAAAATACCGACACATAAGTATGAAGGCTGATTTGTCAGTGATTATTACATAACTTGTTCATGACAACTTCAACGGATACTCTTTAGATAATATTGTGGTGTACGCTACTGATATAAGTAGTATGTATCATCAATCGAAAGTGAAATGCCTGGAGTCAGAAGTTTTAGAAGATCAAAGAAAAGAGAATGATTGGTGTGGAAACAAAGAAAGAATGTAGTCTGAGACAACTGATTGATGTTTTGCAAGTGAAGTATTTACTGTATGGCTCTCAAATTTAATAAGACGTTCTGTGATTTTGTATTCGAATATATTTGGGTGTCCCCGCCTGTGTTTTCGTTCACCACAGTACCATTTAGTTACTCATATCTCTGAAAGGGATACCAAATGTCTACTATCAACTTCCACTTAATAGTAATGCTTCTTGTTTGAAGCGTATTTCTATGTGTTTCAACTCTATAGCATTGAAACAAGGCCATATTAACTGGTAAAACATTTTTATCAACAAACTTTTATTTTGTTAAACTATACTTAGACACAAATTAGATGTTAGATAACATGATTAGTCCATTTTGAAAATCAATGCCTAATGAACAACGATTTACATTAAGAACTACAACGTTGATTGAGTTCAGTAAATGTTTAAAATCATTTTGTTCAGTAATTTTCAAATTGAACAACATTAAGTTAAATAATTAGTCAAACAAAGTAAGTGTTAAACAAAACATACAAACATGAGATCCTTAGAGCTTTTTATCAGTTGCAAAATGAATAGTATTTAATGTGATATTTTATTGCTCCTGAGTATTATATTTTCGGTTGATTTTCTGACCATCTATCGGTTTTCTTTATTTGAATGCAAATGGTAATTCATTCACTTTTGTTTGCAATAAAGTTAGTATTACTCGTAAGTATTATAAGTTGCTTTCTTAGAAATTTCTCACAAGTGAAATAGACTCTTTACAAGCTTCAATAATATAAATTTATGAATTAAAGTGTTTTTTAGCCATTTGCTTTTTCCATATATTTTTAAAAAAATACGTTTTTACTTGAAGGGAAATACAACTTAACTGGGTTTTTTTGTTAGAAATAGTTTTCTCTGTATGTTTTTATCATGTTTAGTTGAAATCTTATTATGTGTCAAGTGGATAAACTGACCATCAACACTCATTTTAGTTCTTGAACAACCGGTGTTCATTTACTTTTGAAAAGAGTTACACTCATCACAACAAATATAGGCGTTATTGAAAATCAACTGTGTATGACACTAAATCGACCACTGTAACTTAAATGCTGTTATAAACTTAAATTTGTTTATCATCTAGACTCTACTTGTTTAACATGCGTTTCGATTAAATTAATGGACAACATGATGTAGTGTACCAGATTTTGGTGGGATTTTGTTCTCTGAGCTGGATGGTCTGGCTGTGGAGCTTTCATCGTTCAAAAGAACGATGAAGTCCTATAGCTGAAGTTTGTGCTGATGATATCGTTCAGAAGAACGACGAAAGCTCCACGACAAAACCATCGAGCTCAGAGAATAAAGCCCCATCAAAATCATCCACTTGAGCTACAAATTTTCTCCACCATCTCAGTACCAGATTTCAGACGACTAAAAGTTAATGACAAGAATTTCTGTATGGTATGTGTTTTTACATTTTCATACT